GTCTCAACAGAAGACTCAAAATAAAATAATAATAAAAATAAACACAGTTATTTGGCACACAGTAGATATTTGATAATGGTCAGTTGCTGTGACTATTAGCTGAATCTCTCACCCAGTGGTAAAAAGCAGAGTTATATAAAGGATCGTGGCTGGGCACAGTGGCTCATGCCTGCAATCCCAGCGCTTTGGGAGGCTGAGGCTCGCGGATCACCTGAGGTCAGGAGTTCCAGACCAGTCTGGCTAACATGGTGAAACACCATCTCTACTAAAAACACGTACACACACACACACACAAAAATTAGGAGTAGTGGCACATGCCTGTAGTTTCAGCTACTCGGGAGGCTGAGGCACGAGAATCACTGGAACCTGGGAGGCGGAGGCTGCAGTGAGCTGGAATTGCACCACTGCACTCCAGCCTGGGCCTGGGAGACAGAAGGAGACCCTGTCTCAATAAATAAGTAAATAAATAAGGAAATAAATAGATGGTTGCCAGAGGCTGCAAACGGCTATATGCAGGGGGGATGTTTAACAGGTCCCCCCCAAAATATAATGAATAAAACCTACTATATGATAACACAACAGGGTGACAATAGTCAATAATAATTCAATTGTACCTTTTAAAATAACTAAAAGAGCATAATTGGAATTGGACTGTTTGCAACACAAAGGATCAACCCTTGAGGGGGTGATACCTCCTTCTTCGTGATGTGATTTTCACGTATTGCATGCCTGTATGAAAACATCTTGTGTACTCCATATACACCTACTGTGTACCCACAAAAAATAAAAGTAAATTATTTTAATCAAAAAATAAGAATAAAAAGAAATTCAACGACAGAAAAAAAATGCCAGGTTATACGGCAACTAGAACATCACCTGGGGCACAGTGAGTGCTCAATAAATCTGCAGAACATGTTACATGCATTCTGCCCGTTAATCCTAATAGTTGATAGTATGTCAGCAATACTCTTTTCTTCCCACTTCATAGAATAGGCAGAGGCTCAGGGAGACTGAAACTTGCCCACATCACCCAGTGATTTGGTAAGTGGCAGATGCGGAATTGGGGCCCATTTGTTTAAGCATGATACTAGACTGCAACCCAAACTCTCTGTCCTCTCTAAGCCATGGTTTGCTTATCTGAAAAGTAAAATAAAATAAACAAACAAAACGAGAACCTTAGCCTTGTGGGTCTCAGAGACACCCCACAGAGCAACCATTCCCTGGGAACAGTGGGTGAAATTCTCCCAAATCCATTTGCCTTGAGCATATGCAGTTGGGAGAACTGTTTACATTTTAAGTGCTCATTTTCACGGCATGAAAATGTAGCTGGGCTCGATGAGGCTTCCTTTCATGCCTTAAGACCAAATCAAGCCCAATGGGCTGAAAGAAGAGGGAAAAAAGGAAGTCGGATGGGCCCTCTCTTTATTTTTAGGTGCAGGCATCTCTTGATTGAGACAAACAATCAGTCTCCCAGCCTGTTTCTGGAGCACCTTAACGTCTCTTGGTGCTTTAATTTCCCACCACCTTGTTCCTAAATACTCCACTTTTCCTTCACAGATGTTAGGTCTGTTCTTTGCACCTGTCAGCAGGCGTGATGCTCTCCTGATTCCCTGAGGTCTCTCTGCTTCATTACTCTTCTCTGTTGCATCCCCCAACCAGTGCAAACTTAAACATAAATGTTTCCTATCCCAGAATGTAATTAAATATCTTTAGCCTATATTTTGCAACAACATACATTTGGGGATGTGAGCATGGTAACCGGCTTAATGGGTCCTAGAGTTTATGTGTCTATTTCTATTTGTAATTGACATTCCCATACCACTATCAACCTTGGTAACCATCAGTCAAGCAGAAAGTTATTGTCAGTGAGCACTAAACAAACCCCAACTCCAAGTGGAATTGAGGTTTTTCAATAATGAATGTCTGAGTAATTTAACTAATCGCTATATTCAGCCTAGCTGAGCTTTTTTTCCCCCCTCATACATAAGCAAACAGAAATCTGGAAAGTTATGAGTCCGGTGCAAGCAAATTAATCTTTAGCTAGAAATTTAACCCGGGAAGAAATCCTCTGTATTCCTTTCAAACTATATGCTTGTTTCTATTTCTTTCAACCTGTGTCATGTAGAGTTCTATGTCAGGAATTTAGACTTAGCAACGATGAAAAGAAAGCAGTTAAGGAAAAGAAAGAAGCCACCCATTTATCCTATTTGGCAATTTCTAAAATTATCACCTTTATTCTACTGTCCTAGAGAGTGCTTTTCTCACATTATAATACACCTGTTGGCCTCCATCCTTTTTTACCAAGTATATTTGCAGCAGACAAAAAGGTAAGATTTCCCCTTAGATCAGAGAAAGCTATCATTTGGGGAATGCAGTGATTGAAGTTAGAATATTAGAAAATGTTTAACCCAGCATGCACTGGGGCAGGCATTCTCCATGGACAATGATGGGTTTTTGCTTATAATTTTACAAATACATCAGCCCTTTTCCTAAGAGCTTATGAATAGAAAGAAGTTAAAATGAATTGTCCAATAAGGCTGGGAAAAACCAGCAGAAAAATATTCTCAGGATTACATGTAAAAAGAAGGAGTACAATATAACAGAAGAACTGGCCCATGATCAGAATTCAAGGCCTAATGTTTCTTAAAATGTAAGAGAAGCACACGGATTGGGATATATCACAGTGCAGAGATTTCAAACAGGAGCTTTGGCACCAGGCAGACCTGAGCTGAGCCCAGGCTCTGCCTTTTACTGGTTTTGTTGGAGCAAACTGCTTAACATTTTTTGTCTGTTTTTCACATCTGGGAAATGGGCATAATCACTGGACCTAACTAATAGGATTATTCAGATAATTTAATGAGATAATGCATGTAAAGTGCTTCACCCAGGACCCAGCCTATAGAGCACTCCAATACATGTCACTATTATTACCAATATTAACCTACAGGATAGTTCCACATGTCATTGTTGTGATCATTTTGACTATGTTACTCTTAATGATATAGGTTGGTTTCCGGCGTAAAGATTTCAAAGCCTGATAGCTTTATTAGAATATTGCCAAGACAGTCACTGCAGCACGGCTATGAGAAAAAGCTTTTTTTTTTTCCTTTATTTTTAATATACACACTCGGCCAAGAAGAAAACGCCTTTTCCCCACCACAGGATACTAAACATAATTCTGTGAAATAGTTGTAAGACTGTAGAGGACTTTCAAAGGTGTTCGTTCAACACGTAATTTTTAAATGACATGTTGCTACTATAAAAACAATACATTTTCCTCATCCACAAAAATTTAAAGAATGCTGAATGGCGTGCTCCACTCAGATCCCCTAAAATCCCTTTACTGTTTCTTCACATCTCTTCCTCAACATTGGTAAGCTTTTGCTCCCAATGGCCTGCACCTGTGACTCTGCCTCGGAGGTCTGCCTTCAGGCTACAAGAGCAGCTGCATTCAGCATGCCTGGGAGTTTACATCCCTGCAGGGTGGCCTTTAACCAATGACTGCTGAGTGAAGGAGTTTGAAAGCTCAGCTTCCTTGCCTTGGGTTAGAATAAACCAAGGTGTAATTTACACTTAGAGTTTCTCTGTGGGATGATGCTGAAGTTACCCTCTATGGCAGAGGTCCCCACTTTTTGGCATCAGGGACCACATTTGTGGAAGACAATTTTTCCACGGATGGTGGGGAATGGTTTGGGGATAATTCAGTGCATTACATTTATTGGGTACTTTGTTTCAATTATTATTACATTGTAATATAGACTAAAATAATTGTACAACTCGCCATCATGTACAATCAGTGGGAAGCCTGAGCTTGTCCTGCTCTAAACAGTCCCATTTGATGGGAGATAGTGGCAGATTATCAGGCATTAGATTCTCACAAGGAGCACGCAGCCTAGATCCCTCGCATGTGCAGTTCACAAGAGGGTTTGTGCTCCTATGAGAATCTAATGCCGCCACTGATCTGACGGGAGGTGGAGTTCAGGCAGTCACGTGGGCAGTGGGAAGTGGCTATAAATACAGATGAAGCTTTACTCATTCACCCACCACTCATCCCCTGCTGTACAGCCCAGTTCCTAATCCTACAGACGAGCTGTGGACCCCTGCTCTATGGGACTTGGCCTAAAATTGCATGCTGGCTTTGCTTCCTACCCTTTATGTCCTGCTTCTCCCATTCCCTTACCACTTTCTCCCGGAAGTACTCCCTTAATAAATCTGCTGCACATGAACTCTCAGGATCTGTTTTGGCAAGCCAGACCTAATATATGGCCAGACCTCATTTATGGGCCAATGATTTTTCATAAGGGAAAATGGTAAGCTTTTCAGTAAATGGTACTGGTAAAACTAGATATTCACACACACACAAATAACATTGGCTCCTTTATACTATTTACACAATTTAGCTCAAAATGGATCAAAGACCTAAATATAAGCACTAACACTATAAATCTCTTAGAAGAAAACATATAAGAAAATTTTTATGACATAATATAACTACGATAAGTAACAGGATCTGCCCTTCCTGTGTGTGTGTGTGTGTGTGTGTGTGTGTGTGTGTGTGTGTGTTTATTTTATGATCTTCAGATCTGACAATTGTGAAATTGCATAGTACATATAATGGTGGGTTTTTTTAATTTAAATACTTATCATCTTTTCATATTGACAAATAGGCTTCAACACACGTTTCTACTGGCCACCTGGTATCTCATTGTATGAGATAATTTCATAATTTCACCAGTGCCACTTAAATGTTTTTTGCTGTTCATTTCTATGGTAACAATGTGGGTCGAATATCTTTTCCCGGAAATTTCTGTGTAAGTCCATTTGTTATTACTCTACCTGAAAGCATCATTCCTGGGTCAAACAGTAACCCATATCCAAGGATTGTGATTCTAATTCCCAAACGCCCTCCAGAAAGGTGAACCAAGTCATACCCCTGTCAGCACTGTCCTTGATCTCCATCCCTACCCTTGCTTCATTTGTAATATTGAAGATTGGCGGGCATGAGCTTTGAGGAGGTCTGTAGCTTGGATGATGTTGACAGGAACTTTCGTCTTCAAAATGGCTTGAGTGCTACCTCCTCTGCATTTACCAAGCTGAGACTCACTCACGTGGTAATTTTTATCTCATGTGAATTAAACTGACATTCCTCGGAAGACTCATACTTCCTGATTGCAAAACTTACTACAAAGCTACAGTAATCAAAACAGCATGGTACTGGCATAAGGACAGACATCCACACTAAAGGAACACAATAAGGACCCTAGAAATAAACCCTCACATATACGGCCCAATGATTTTTAATAGGGAAAAGGGTAATCTTTTCAGTAAATGGTGCTGGTAAAACTAGATATCAGCATACAAAAAAAAAAAATAACGTTGGCTCCTTTATACTATTTACAAAATTTAGCTCAAAATGGATCAAAGACCTAAATATAAGAGGTAACACTATAAACTTCTTAGAAGAAAACATAGAGGGAGATTTTTATAACATTAGATTTGGCGACAATGTCTTCAATACGATCACAAAAGCGCACGCAACAAAGAAAGAAATACATGAACTGGACTTCATCAAATTTCAATTGTTTTGGATCAAAGGACATTATCAACACAGTGAAACAACAACCCACCAAACGAGAGAAAATGTTTGCAAATTATATCCTTGATAAGAATTAATATTCAGAATATGTAAAGAACTCCTATAACTCAATAACAACAAAAAACAAACAGCACAGTTCAAAAATGAACAAAGGACTTGATTAGGCATTTCTCCAGAGAAGACATACAAATGGCCAATCGGCACATGAAAAGATGCTCAACATCACCCCTCATTAAGAAAACCCCACCCAAAACCACAATGGGGGTGGAGCACGGTGGCTCATGCCTGTAATTCCAGCACTTTGGGAGGCTGAGGCGGGTGCATCATGAGGTCAACAGATTGAGACCATCCTGGCCAACATGGTGAAATCTCATCTCTACTAAAAATACAAAAATTAGCTGGGTGTGGTGACGCATGCCTGTAGTCCCAGGTACTCTGGAGGTTGAGGCAGGAAAATCACTTGAACAGGGGGCAGAGGTTGCAGTGAGCCGAGATCCCGTCACTGCACTCCAGCCTGGCAACAGAGCAAGACTCCGTCTCAAAAAATAATAATTAAAAACAAACACCACAATGAAATACTATTTCACACAAATTAGGATGGTCACCAAAGAAAGAAAAGAATACTTCTTGGAATATCATCCATCATAAACAGGAATGAGATTCTGATACATGGCATAAGAAAAATAAACCTGGGACTCAGCCACAGGCCATGAGGTCAGTGCCTGCCTCAAGGGATGGGGCTGCAGGGTATATAGGAGCCCTGGAGGTGCTATGTTCCACAACACAGGATGGTGAATCAGGTGGCCGTGGTATAGCACCGATGTCTGTAGAGGAGGTGAGTGCTCACCCTGGTCCTCGAGCTGTCACTCATCTACTTCCTCAGGAGCACCTTCAAGCAGGAGGAGAAGGCAGTGAGAGAGAAGAATCTCCTCCAGGTTCAAGACCATGATCAGCCCATTCTGTGGAAAGTGCAGTTTAACTCGGGCAATGGCAGTCGCCCCGGCAATCATTGCCACAACTCCATTCGAGGGGAGCCTCTCATCATGGATGAACTATGTTTGTGAGAGGAAGGATTTGCTGGCGAATGGCTGCTGCAAAGTCAACATCCCTGGTGCAAAGCAATACTGCTGCCATGGCTGCTGGCCCAACTGCTGCTGCAACTTCAGCGTCCCTAGCCCAAAGCAATACTGCTGTGATGGCTGCTGGCCTAATTGCTGCTGCAACATCGATGTCCCTAGCCCAAAGCAATACTGCTGTGATGGCTGTTGGCCTAATCGCTGCTGCAACATCGATGTCCCTAGCCCAAAGCAATACTGCTGTGATGGCTGTTGGCCTAATCGCTGCTGCAACATCAATGTCCCTAGCCCAAAGCAATACTGCTGTGATGGCTGCTGGCCTAATTGCTGCTGTAACATCGATGTCCCTAGCCCAAAGCAATACTGCTGTGATGGCTGCTGGCCTAATCGCTGCTGCAACATCAATGTCCCTAGCACAAAGCAATACTGCTGTGAT